GCTGAGGTTGGACGCTGCCTTTCAAGTTCGAGGTGCAGAAATTGCAGACAGAGATGTTTTTTGTTGGTTAACTATGGCACATGATGGAACCTGTTCAGACCCGCAGATGGCATATTTTCGTGAGGAAAATGATGTTCAACCAATGTTTAACCAATGGATTTCGGGGGAGCAAATATTGACCCAGTGGAGACTGTCTTTTGATCATCCCATGGCCCGCTGTCGAGCCCTGACTTTCTGCATCTGTATTCCAGGTATATCCCAGTTCTTGCTATGGAAATTGCCAATGTTTCATGATTGAACATTAGATACCAATGTTTGATGATAACAAACAGTAACAGACATACATAATAACATAATATATATATATATGGGTGTGTCTGAAAATAGTGTACCCCTAAACCCAATGGTTTTGCTGATCATTATCCCTATTAAAATTATTAAATGGCTATTTGTTTGGGAATATACCCTATTTTCAGATACCATATTTGCATATCTATTACCCCGATGCTATTCCCATCGCGTGGGGAATGGATCCATAGCTGCAGGTGGTGGGGAACTGCAGCAGTTCGTCTGGGTCCATGCAGCACTTCTCAGTGGATTGCTCCAAACTCTCTGCGGCTTGACGTGACAGGATTCATTGGATCGGATCCATATTTGATCATAACATGTACTGTGTACAATATCCATATGGGTATGGATCAATACCTATTAATACCATTTTTAGGGGGATGAACATCCATTTACCAGCTATTTTGATGTTCACCAGGGGTACAAGGTTTTGACACACTGCCATATCTGACAATATATGATAATATCAATATATCTGATCCATATCAGTTTTTGTCCTTTCTGAAGTACACAACACAAGAATTACCGGTCTATACATGATATGATACTGTGCATATACTGTACATACATGTATATAAATACAAACAGAGTCATCGTGACTAAGTGGGGCAACTTCGGTGGTGATGGGAATTGGGGAATCATCCCCATAGCTGGCCGCACGATAACAACTATTTTCAGGTTGGTAATTACTATGCTTCAGCCAGATCTATTGAAGAGTTTGCTAAATCGACATGAACAGTTGGAGAACCGTGACAGAGGAACGTATTTGTCTGTGATTTGCCAATGGACGTCAATGCTAGACGCGCCGTTGCAGCTGCAAGAAAAAACGACTCGGCAATCGTCATATCCCATTGCTGTTGCTGGTGTCGAAACATGTATTATACACATGGCTACCGATCATAATTCATGGTTCAGGTGACAGCACATTTTGATCATTGTTGATATAGATCAAAAGTCATCCATTTGCGCACCCCGCTGACTGGCGGCATAGCGAACCAGCCCACATGATACACATGCTTATGCTATTTTGATCTATTTGCTGCCATTTCCATTTGGATGAACGAACTCAACTGCCCCCTCCCTTTTTCCGTAAGATCCTTAGTAAACCCGCTATGAACAAGGGACACACTGAGGAAGCCGCAGGATGTCAAACCACCAATGCATATGACCCAAAAATGTAAATTCCTAGTTCTGAATTCGCAATAGGAAAATCAACTAATTAGAGATGCATACTGACATATACTTGTCAGGTATTTCCCATTGCCATCCGCCAAACATTCATATTGCCATCCAGAACTGTGGCCGAGGTACAGAACTGCCCAAGCGCTGAAAGTGTCCCAGGCGCGGAGAACTGACAATGGAAACCATCCAATTGTGGTAACAAAATCACAGGGAAACCAATCGTGAAAAGGGGTACCATGCGAACCATAATTTCCCTATTTTGGTATCATTATTAATTAATTATCTATTTATGGTACCATAATTTCTTTAAGCGCCCGAAATAGAGAGAACTGAGAGAACCGTGGTTCCAAAGTCATGGTGATACTTTTGCACAAACCAACTACATAGCGATCTTGTTTGCGAGTATCGATCATTGGCCATGTGTTGGGGCGTCCTTATGTTGGCCATGTGGGATCTGTGGGATCGACAAACCATCCCAACAATGATTAGGGTATACATATTATATCTCCATATATATATATTTATATGGATATATATATATATATGTATTTATATGGATATATATATATGTATATTTATATGGATTATATATATATATGTATATTTATATGGATTATATATTATATAATACATACATACATACATACATACATACATACATACATACATACATACATACATACATACATACATACATACATACATACATACATACATACATACATACATACATACATACATACATACATACAACATACATACATACATACATACATACATACATACATACATACATACATACATACATACATACATACATACATACATACATACATACATACATACATACATACATACATACATACATACATACATGAATACATGAATACATGAATACATGAATACATGAATACATGAATACATGAATACATGAATACATGAATACATACATACATACATACATACATACATACATACATACATACATACATACATACATACATACATACATACATACATACATACATACATACATACATACATACATACATACATACAACATACATATACCAATACATACATACATATACATACATACTACATACATACCAACATACAATACATACATACATACATACATACATACATACATACATACATACATACATACATACATACATACATACATACATACATACATACATACATACATACATACATACATACATACATACATACATACATACATACATACATACATACATACATACATACTACATATACTACATCTATCCTTCCCCCACGGGGATTCCCATTCAGGAATTCTCCTTGAGTTTGGTGGTTCCACCCCTCTCCAGGAGTGGGCAACCTGGATCTGCATTTGAAGCACCCCACCACTGGGCAGATTTCTGGATGCTACAGCCCATGCAGCAAGCAACTTGCCGGGCATGCATTTTGGATTGCGAACCACGCGCACACACACACACGACGAAAAACATAATGATGCTGAAGTAGATAGAATATGTTTTTTTGAAAGATATTCCGGTTTTCGTGAGATTTTTTCGACATTTCCATATTCTATCTACTCCAGGATGACTCTATGTCTATGTGTGCACGTATAGATATGTGTATACAGCAGAGGTATGAATTGACACCCACACACATACATACATATTATATGTATATATACATATACATAGACTTTTATATGTCTTTTCACTTTCCACATCATATGTGGCAGTGTGTAGATTTGTGTTTTTTCTGTATCTACTACTTTGTTTTTATAATGTAAAATATACATCATAAATTATATAGTATATTTACATTACTAATATGTACAGTATTGATTTGAATGTATCAACAGATCACCATGATATACATTTTCAAAAAAAAAATGCGACACACAGACTATCTTTTCAATCAGTCCTGTGGGTACATTACCAAAGAGGAACTTGTGATAAAGCAAACAAAGCAGCTCGATTGATGTCCTCAGCACAGGATGGCCGCTGGTCAGTCTTTGCCATGAGGTTTCCAGCCCTTTGGAGTGATAGCACAACCTAAATGAACTTGGGGGTTGTTTTATGTTGTTTTATGATCTTTGATGTGAACATTTTTTTCCTAGGGGAGTAATGGAGGATTCAAACTTGCCAATTATGATGGATAATGGATGATGGAAAACTACATCATGATCATCATGGCACAAGAAGCAAGGGTAGCTTCGGTAGCTTCCTGTGTTTGAACCCCCACCCCGGTAGCTTTACGTCAAGGCTCACCCTCCGGAACTGGAACAACACGCTGGCGATGAGTCACATTCCACGGGACCTTTTAGTGGTTCGGCCGCCAGGATGGTAATTTTCCAACACATGTGGCTTTTTAGGCACTCAAAAAGCACAGAAAATGTGTGGCTTTCATCAGTTTCAACAGAAATGGCGAGAGTTTCGGCATGGTTTAGCATGTGCTGGACGAGGCAATCCATTGAAACAGGCAGCACAAGAATGTTGATATCTGATATAACAAAAATTGGGGGGATATCACATATTAATAAGATATTCACCACATTTTCACCATATTTTCCATCAGATATATTTTTTAATCATATACCCTTTGGTAAACCAACATAGCTATGGAACATCACAATTTTTAAATGGGTAAATCAACTATCGATGGACCATTTTCAATAGTTATGTTGCATTACCAGAGGGTAAGGTGGAATCATCCAATCCTGAAGATACATATATCTACATATATATACACAGTAAATAACTATAGATACAATGTGGATATAAACCGTTTTCAATCAATACATGATATATATATATATATACACACCTATAAATACACATATATGTATATTCTATATATATATACTGTTATCAATAATGTGGTTAAAACAATAGTAAACCATCCACACAATCACCATAAATGGGTGGTACAAAACATTCCCAGTCATGGGTGGTTTATGATTGTTTTAACCACATTACATGATATATTATGTACATTGAATCAGAAACCATATTTGTATATATATATATAACATTTTATACATACCATATGTACATATACCACATGCAAGTGGACAAGCAGCTCAAGCGAACTGGACACCTACAGATGAACCTGTCACGTATGAATGGGGCTATGCACCTTCTTGGTTGCAAGCAGGTTCACCTTTTTTGCTCAAATGCCAAGCTGGTGCGGAAGGCGCAATGGATAGCGACTGAGCAATGAGTGGAACTTTCATTGGTCCCGCTCCCCCTAGTTTTCTAAGTTTCACAGGCTCATGTGTAGAATCCCGTTCAGCTAGCAACAGCAACCAACCAACAAAAACCAAGGCAGGGTTCCCGAAAAAGGTCACTCTTTTTCAGGGAGGTCAGGTGTTTTCTCTTCTCGTGGTTCCAAAGGACTCAGCCCCAGAGCTTTTCGGCGACGAGCGGAAGCACGCTCCACGTCTTCTACGATCCTCCACTTTTGGTTCACGCTGTAAAAAAGTTCCAGCTGTTTATATTCACTTCCTTTTGTCAATCCGTTTGACAACTGAGCTTCTCCATGAACCCATCGTATATGGACTCGGTTCCGCAGCTGGGATTCCTTCAAAGCGAGCAGCTCCAAGTCAGTTCTTTTCTCTGCACCTTTGATGCTTAGGGCCTCTGTTTCCATCTTGTCATAGACATTCCTGGAGTCAGTCACCAAGGTGCCCATGATCTGGTTGACTGTGTTGTCTATGTCCTTGACGCAAACTGGGTATCCCAACATCTCAGCCAATTGGAATCTCCCATAGTAGAGAGAGTCCTCTCCGTTCACTGCAGCAAGCGCCTCAGCAGCGCCAGGACTCCGGCATCGTCTCTCTATTTTCTGAGAGTGCCATGACACCAGTGTCACATCCACGCATTCGCCATGGCTCATGCGTTGTGACGCTACTCCCAAGACAATTCCTTGGGTGCTTGAGCCATCTGGCCTATTTTGCGAGCCAGCATCAACCCAAACATACAAGGCAAGCTCAGACACTGGTATGGCATGTACCTTTAACCTGTGGTCCTTCAGACTCTTCACCTTGTCCATCAAACGGTTGGCACGCAAGACAGTGTCTATAGAGCTCTTATTGACTTCTGACAGCAACAGTCCTACCTCAGCAGCAAAGTGTGGTGCAACTTGTTGCGCATGCCATGACACACCCCCTAACAACGTTCTCAACTGGGTCTTTTCCCAGTCGTCAGTTGGTGAGCTTCGGTCCTTTTTCCGGTGAGATCGGAGGTTTATGTATTTCAAGTCCTCAACATATTTTTCCTGAGAGAGGCTAAAGGAAAAATCCTCATGTTGTTCCAACAAAACTCCACATTGCACAAAACGGGTGTGTTCCCAGTCTCCCCACTTGTATTCTTGTTTGATGGCTTCTAAGATGGCTGTCCAGCCGGCACATTTTTCATCACCGCTGAAAAGAAAGTCATCGACATGGCCAGAGATGATCCCTTTTAGGGAACCATTCTGCAGGTAAATCCAGCAGCAAGGGTCAGACCAGCATCTCTTGAGGCCAAGTCTTTCGAAGCACTCACAAATCGATCGGTACCATTCAAGTGGAGCGTCCACCAGGCCATAGCAAGCTTTTCTTACTTTCGTGATGGACTCCGGGGGCAATCCCATAGCCTCACAAATTTCTGGGGCTGGGATGCAGTACAGCTCTCCAGGATACGGCCTGGACTGTAAGAAAGCACCTGTGACATCGCCTTTGTACATTCGAAACCTCAGTGAAGCAGCAAGTTGGAGTTGCAACTGTCTGGTCTGCCGAGTCGTAGTGGGCGAATTGGTGGCACGTTGTTCATAGCAGGGATCCTGGTACCCCAGGAGCACTGCCCTTGACTTGGCTTTCTTACTACCATCCTCCTTGTATTTCCAGGTAAGGATCCAGCGCATCCGGATCGCCTGTGAGGCTGATGGTTTCAGGTGCTCAGGCAGTGCCTCAAAAGCTTTGGCGGCCAAGAAGTTTGAAACCTCAATCGCCTTCGCTGCTTGAAACTGGGTCTTTTCCTCTGGAGACAGATGGCGTTCGCACACCTCGATGGCAGCTCTTCTTTTGAAGTTGTTGACAAAGAAGGCCGGAAAGTCACTAAGCGCTCGTTCTGATCCGGCTCTGGTTGTGGGCATATCCATCATTACCTCCACAGCAGCACTAGGAGTGGTCCAATAGGCACACTCCGTGACACTCGCAGTGAAGGCCTCTTGAACTCCATCATACCAGTGCTCCCCTGTGCAGAAGCTGTCTTCCACAGAAGGTGCTGGTGTGGCTTGGTGAGAAGGCTTGGGACTACGAGATCTGGCGTGTCGGCCAGAGGTTGTTGCCGTCTCATACTGCATCTCCATGGTGCCTGGTTCCAGCCGGACAGGCGATGGACCTCGTTTACCAGCATATCGGTGTGTTGGTTTCCAGGGAATGGTTGGCTGTTCATGACCAGCTTCCCACTCCATATCCGTGGGAATTTCCTTCGAGAGGTCCAGGTATTCATTACCTCCCAGTTGTTCTGCGATTCTATGAAAGTCCCAGGACTCTGGTTGTGGGCCGTGAAGTTCATGCAACAACACTTCTTTTTCTGAAGCCATCCTAAGCTGTTCCAGGCTACATTTCCAGAGTCGACGGCCCCTGACACACCAGACGGAACTGCCTGACTTGCGGATGCCATCCTTGGAGATGTGATGCTCCAGAGCCAACACTCGGGCTGGACCTACAAAGGCTCCTCCCTTAGCGGTGGACTGTCCACTCACTTGTTGTCGCCAGATGTAGACCAAGTCACCAGGTTGATAGTCGATAAGGGTTCTGCCTTTTGAGTGAGAGGCTCTGGAAATTCTCTGGTGAGCTGTCCAGTCTAGAAAGGCCTGTTCAGCAGCTTTCATGCGTTGTAGGTTTCGGCTGAACTCCCCTGTGGCGTTCTCCATCAACAATTCCGGGCATTCTGAACCAGCTCGTGGAAAAATCCTACCAGTAGGATCAGGGGCACGACCCAAGGCATGTTGCAGTGGGCTAAAACCCCGGATCATCTCTCGGTTGTTGAACGCCCTGGTGGCTTCCGACAGGGCATCTTTGGTGGTGACGTCCGGTGACTCTAAAGCCACTCGAGTCATAAGTTCTTTCACACCCTTGATGGCATTCTCGCATATTCCCAACTTCCAGTGCGCTTCTCCAGGGATCATGTCCAGGAAAACCTGGTGGCGATCACAGTATTCCTCCACAGCTTTGCTGCGGAAGGTGCCATCGGGATCTAATCTCAAGGTGTCTGGCAGCCCAAAATACTGGCACCAGCACTCTTGGAGAGTCTCTAAAAACTGGGACGCACCTACATGGTACTTTCGACCCTCGCCCAAAACACGACCTATGCGGAACCTTGAGCCCTCATCTATTACCAGCAGAAACTGATAGCTCTTTCCGTCCTGTGGGTGTTCCCATGTTCCCATATCCGCAGAGATGGTGGACCATTTTGGTGGAAGTGGTTCAAACGAAGACTTGGGCCGTGGTTTTGGCCGTTCTCTCTCTTTGCAAATGGAACACACAAAACGCTCAGCTTCCTCTAGCACACACTTATGGACCCCGCGACGTCTCAATGCCTGGATTAAGTGTCTCACAGGGCCATGTCCAGTTGCTGAATGTAGCAACTGCAGTTTCTTTTGGATTTCTGCTCGGGTCAACCCTGGGTCTTTGGGAGATATCTCTTGGGTTCCTAAACCATGTTGATGATTACTATGGGGATCTCCTAGGGGACCAGTACATGGTGTCCTAGTAGCCTCATCAGGGTTGAGTATCCCAGCATGTCGGGCGTGGCAGGCAGAGTTGGTGGAGACATGATGACCAGTAGTGACCTCGGGACCCATGGGTGTACTCCTAGTAACATCATCAGGGCGAAGTATCCCTCCATGTGGGCACATGTTAGGTGATGTGGTCAATGGGGCATGACTGTCTCTACCTATGGGATTCCCCAACATGTTGGTGTTCCTAAGAGCCTCATCAGGGGACAGAATCCCAGGGTTCTCATCGGTGTGGCATGACTCATGTGATGATTTCATGGCTTCCATATTTTTCGTGCAACACATGCCACATGACAACTCTGCCCCGTGCAGTTGACCTGCCTCGCATTCACATGAAACACCATTCCCAAAGTGATCCAACAAACAGGACTCACCCCTCAGTTCCTGCAACAAGTCCTCACGACTGCAGCTTTGTTGGAGTGTCCTACTAACCCTTTTGGCAAAGTCTTCGGGGTAAAAGGCCGTTTTGGGGGTCACACTTCCTTCACATTTCACATGCACGGTTTCCTTCGGGCATTTGCAGGGCAGATCCATTCTGCGTGCTAAGTGCTTGTCAGTGGTCATAAGCTTCCATCCTTTGGAAATGAAGTTACCCCCATTATCCCTTAACCCCACTTGACAACCCCGGGTTATGGCAAAGTAAGGCCGAAAACGCTGAACCAGTTTTTGAATCAGGGGCAACCGCCATGCGAGACAGCTTTGCGACCATTCCCAAGTCACATGAATGCCTCTTTGACAACAGCACATCCTACGTATTGTTTCAAGGCGTCTCGACGTTTGGCCTGCAGTTCCTCACATTGTTTGGGATTCCTTTGGTTCACATTTTGCATCACTGAGTAAGGTCCACAAACAGGTGACAACCAAACATGTTCCGGGTTGAGTTCATCAACATCCCTCAAAACTTTGTGGATTCCCGCATTGGTGGAGAGGTCATAACCATTAAACAAGGAGCACCGTTTGGCGGACATCTCGCTTTTCGATGCACGATTAACGGCCTCAGTCAAACGGCTATCAGGGGAACATGCTACTTCCAGTAGCTTGAGCCTGTTGTGGGCCAAAAGTGAACCAAAAGCCTCAGGAAGGACCTCTGATGCTTGAAAGGAAAGTTGCCGAGCTTTGTGCTCGGGCAGAGGTTCCCATACCACTTCCTGTGATACGTCCACATCAAAACTATGAGAGGAACTACTGTCTTGGCCCTGACTCTCACTCACTGCCGCGCTCATGGTGTCATCACCACGAAGGAGTGGTTGGACATGTTCTCGTCGGCTGGCTCGACCTTCTTCCGAGGGCGCTCTTCCTTCAGAGCGGCCACATCCTCCTGTAGATTGCGCACCAACATCAGGAGCTCCTCGTTCACACTGGAGCTGGAGATGGATGCGCTTGAGCGCGCCGGCTTGGAGCCCTGTTTCATGGTGCGGCCAGTCAAAGGAGCCTTGGTCTCCTTCGGCATTTCGGCCTTCAACTGTTGGTCCATGGCCTCGATCCAGCGGGCCAACCGCATGAGACGATAGTCTGCCTGACCCTCTGCGGCAGTCTTCTTGATCCAGTTGACATAGTCGGGGTGGTGCATGTACAGCTCCTCGTAGCTCAGTGCACAATGGAGTCCAAACCCCACTGGGTCCTCGGCCTGAGGGGCGGTTGCCTCGTAAATGTGGCGAATGCCCACCTTCTGCAACTGCTCCATGGTTTCGTTCCCAGACAATGGGGTCTGAAAGTTGGCCTTGAGGAAGTTGATCAGGTCCGCCTTCTTGCGGCACTTGTTCATGTTGACCACCCAAGACCGGAAGACCGTCTGGGGCTTGCTCTGCCGCAACGGAAGGCCCTTCTCCTCCTTCAACTCGAGCAGCCGGGTGCGAAGCTCTGGAACGGACCACTTCGGTGGTGGAGCTTCTCCCAGGGCCAGGAGCTCCTGGATGTAGTCCTCCTTGGTCATGCGCTGAGTGGGCATGGCAGAAGCGCTCGTGGTTGGACGCTCCCTGCGCGGCAGTTGCTACTGGAGGCTGAGAAGCCACACGCAGGCAGTCCTTTTGGGAAGAGTCCTGACTTTTGGGGTGAGAGTTGGACCCATTTTCACAACCCTGCACAACATCAAAACCAAAACCACCATAAACAGACTGGCAAATATCATCACATTGGATTCTATCATGAGCCTGTTCAAACCCCTCGCCTGTCAAAACACTTGGCACCTTACTTTCCTGGGCAGGCACTGGGAAAGTAAGGAGTTGTCCCTAGATGTAGCTACGGAGGCTGGGAATAGCAGTCGGAGATTCCGCTGCACCTTCATACCAGTCAGTAGCTAACGGCAAAAGCTGGTGACCCGTGCTCGAGCGCTCGAGCTGGATGACCTTTCGATCACTCAGCTTGCGAAACACTACCAAGTCTTCACTAAAATCTACTACGGCACCTAGCGCTCTCAGTGAAGCAATGCTGAAAAGAACTGGTCCATCACCATGATCCAATGCATGGATCTGAAGCTGCCCCATTCGTCCATCAGCGTGGATCTGGAAGGCGGCTGTGGAGACACACTGGTTTCTCGTAGAGTTTCCAAAGCCAAAGGTTGGGCGGTCCTCAGTATTGAGGTGATGCAAACCATTGTGGCCAGACATCTGCTGGTTGATCTCCATCAACTTTTCCAAAGCATGGACGGATCCAATCGTGCGAGTTGCACCTCCATCCAACACAGCTTTGCCTTGCTCGACAACTTCCGGTGTGGAGGGTGGAACTGCCGCACAAATGGGGTTCACCTCCGGCTCCGCAGGAAAGTTGCCCATGACATACTCCAGCTGGTCGTCCTCCGCAAAGCAAACAAAGGGTGCTGACTGATCTTTGGGATCAGCTGAGGCTGCCAGGCCGCTCCCACGGGGACAGTTGGCAGTGCGATGATCTCCACCGCAGCGCAGACAAGTAGAGCTCGAAGAGGAATTCTTGCCCTTGCCATCGCCCTTGGAGTTGCCCTTGTTGGTACGGAAGTACCTCCTGGACAGACGCACCTGTTGTTGCTTTTCTCGGGCTTCTCTGAGGGTTCGCCGTCCTTGTTGAACTGCCGCTAAAGCGGCCTCGGCCTCGGCCTGAGCTGAAGCCATGAGAGCCTGGCCCTCTTCATTCAAGTCCTCCGTGATCACCATGGCCACATCTTCTCCGTCATCTGACTGGAGTTCATCATCTATCCACCAGCTGCTATGGCGGCCTGATTGATCTCGGCGCTTCAAGTCATCATCCGACCATTGGTTGCGTAGCTCTTGTGCAACCCGGTCAAAGCTGAAGTCCTGCTTGATGGAGGCCAAGATCATGTTGCGCTCTCCGGTGTCGAGGCCTGCATCGCTGAGGAGATACCATCCTTGTATCATGTCAGGAAGGATCTCAGGTGCATCCATCGCCCAATCGGCCTGATCATCTGCAGGCCCTGACCATTGCGATCCCCACCATTGATCTCGCCAACCTCCTGACCACCAGCCAGATTGGCCCTGACTTGAGGCTTGAGCCCATGGATCATCTGGTTCTGGTTCCTCCGGGGCCTCAGCTTCTTCGTCTGGGACTCCCGCCTGTGAGGGCGGGGCAGACTCGGTGGCCGCGCCTCGCCATGTATTTGCCCTCGTACTTGATCGTGCCATAGAGCCCGACCACCTCATAGTATCTTCGCCATAGGCTTTCAAGACCCTACCCAAGGCCTGCTGGGCTCTAGTGTAGGTCTCTGTCTTGCGCGTGATGTACTCATTCATTGTCTCACCACGTCGACGCTTGCCCTGTTTGAAGAACCTTGTAAGGTAGTCGGTCAGTTCTGGGATCTGTGGCAGACCCAAGCGGTTCCTGAGGTGGCCCATCAGCTTCTCGACGCCACCATTGAAGGACACCCAGTCGGGGCGCTTGCCAAGCACGTAGCGCTTGGCCGTCCCTGTCAACTCTGAGACCAACCTAGGGGCACAAACGTACCTCTTGTGGCTGGCTATGCCTTGCTCCCAAAGAAGCGAGGCTTCTTCATATTCTTGGAACGTTGCCGAATCTCCATCCCATATCGGCACACCATCTTTTGACTTTTCTATTCGCTTTGGTTTTTCCATGCCGTCCACGGTGCCCCGAGCGGCTATGCAGCCCGGGCCTCTTCACTCCCTGGATCTTCTCAAAGTGGCCTTTGAGTAGGCTCTACGCTAACATGCAAGTGGACAAGCAGCTCAAGCGAACTGGACACCTACAGATGAACCTGTCACGTATGAATGGGGCTATGCACCTTCTTGGTTGCAAGCAGGTTCACCTTTTTTGCTCAAATGCCAAGCTGGTGCGGAAGGCGCAATGGATAGCGACTGAGCAATGAGTGGAACTTTCACCACATATATTTTAACAACATTGTATGATTCAATATGATGTATATCTTTCTATGATCATCTCCGCCAGGACGCCACCGCAGCACCTTACTGCTGCCCCACGCCCCCCGAGTCGCCTGCCTCCTGCCGCACTGGACCGGTGAAGTCCACCCAATATGTGGAGGCCGATGGAGGTTTCGGAGGACAACATGATATGGTGAATCAAAACCAAGGCACCCTATAGGTAGCCCAAAATAGCTGGTTAATGGATCTTTATTATATACAGAAATATGATCCAAAAATTCGGGATACATAGGGAATTGAACATGGGGTTTTAACCCCAACCATTAAGCCATGGGTACTGTAAATAATTAAACCCCATAGAGTTGGGATAGAACGTGATATGGGGATGGGTCAAGCTACCTATGAACTTACCGTATGACTGGGGGAATAAACATTCATTAACCAGCTATTTTGGGGATTTTGACCCGTAACCATATATGTGGGCGATTTTTGAAGGAATCTTCTCCAATTTTTATGGGACTTTGACGAATTTCATCCAATTTTCTTGATACATGTGAGGAATGTTGAGAATTCTACCAATTTTTCTCGAGATTTTGAAGAAGAAAAATATGGAAAATTGATGGACGAATATGGGGCCCAGACAAAGAAGACTCGTAAACTCAAAAAACAACAAAGTTGAGAGCATTGAACGAATGAACTCGGGTGTAGAACCAGAAGAGTCGGGAATGCCAACAAGAGCGTGCACTGAAACGGTGGTGAAGTACAGTAAGTCAAGAAAGCAATCAGGGCCGCGTAGGCAAGGAAATTTGTTTCCAGGAGTCGCTTGTTGAATTGTCCTGGGAACACTAATGTTTGCCAAAGCGCAAAGGTCAGGACAGGATGTTTTCCAGGAATCAATGAGCATCCTGAATCCAGGGGGCTGCGTCAGTTGCATCTGGGCTCACTTCCGAGCAGGGCTCGCTTATGTCTAGAATTTTGGCTTAATTGCCTCGGTCAAAACTTGATAAAATGAATGCTTTCGGTGTATCATCAAACTGCATGCAAAGACTTGATGCTACAGTTTGCTTGGGGGTGGGGTGAGGTTGGGGTATGGTGGTGTGTTATGTGACATAACTTTCATGTCCGTTATTTTTCATCTGAACTTGCTCACTGATATCAAAGCAAGGAACGCTGTTTTTATTTTTGTGACAATAATATAAGATATATAAGGTAACCAGTATCGAAAGACATGGGTATACAACCCCAAAAAAAGGAGATCATGAAATAGAGACAGGGACGTAGGATGTGCGAACAAGAATATTGCCAATAAACAGGGACGTCTGGCCAACAAGGAAGCTGGGGATGTTTCACTCACGAGAATCAAGTAGGAACAACATGCAGGCTCCTGCATATCACCTGGATACATAGCCCATCAAAAAAACGAAACCGGAGCAACTATAGCTACATGTAGATACGTATAACATATATATATATATCTATATGTATGTATTGTATACATATCATGTATGGGTTTGTCTCAAAATGAGGGATATCGGGATATCACATTGTTTGGCCACCAGAAACTATGGGTTTTCGTTCGGTCACCAGATTTTGGGGTATCCATGGGTATCGATTGAACCAACTCACAGAGATCCATTGAAGAATTGTCTGTGTTGAACCAAACATAAATACCATGGTATTTAGTAGGAACATCATGTAAATACCATGGTATTGGGGATGTTGAACTAATACTACAAGTAGGAATGTACAACATCTTACCATATACTCTAACTAAAATGCATGTAGAGCTAAATGATGCAAATCACTCCCGTTCAGTCAGGGTAGGGCCACGAAGAAAGGATTTCTGAAGATAGACCGATAGACCTGTCAACTAAGACATGTCGATAGTCTTGATACGAGGTGTCAGTTCAGGCGTGTCTACATGTAGCCCACACATGAACTTTCGAAATTACCAAGAGAAAGCTGGCACAAGTCCTCCATCGATTTGTTTGGGTACAGAATGGTAGAATGTGGTAGACCAACAAGCCATCCCACACTTACCCGAATCACAAGATATTGTGAGTGTGTTTGAAACCAGACCACAAAATGGATTTATGGGTTGTTATCTACTCGCATTTGTTGTTGGTTTGTATCTGTTTGTATCCCCAGTGTACCCGTATACCCACATGATATCTCCATTATATCCCTACTATATATAATTGTATCTCCATTGCATCTACACTACACTATATCCCTATCGTATCTTCATTATTTTCATTTATATTGCCCATGTGATGGTTACATTCCCATGAGATGTGTCCTTGGTATTTGATGTTCCATGTCTCCTGCGGCTCCTGCAGGCAGTGCATCGGCTGTGCCCGGGCGTCTATGGGTACCTCGCTGCATTCCTTGCAGATGCGTCCCATCAATCAGGCTGTTTGCATCAGTAAATATGGGGGTTTAACCCTTAAGAATTATTGTATAGTGGGATATATTGGGGATACACATAATGGATAATAATGGAGAAACAACATTCTCCAGCAATTTTTGTCAATCTGCTAGCTATGGTATAGATGGCCCAACATGATTTATATATATACTGTTTGCAAACCTGCTGATGGGCGAGGTATTCCTACGATGATGGGGTTGGTCTTCTGACGTGTTCCGCAACCAGCATCTACACCATGAGTTTCTTTTGCCCTGAGCCGGGACCCCAAGGTTTTGGCAGACCAGGAAGTTGACCATCGGCTGACCACCAGATTTCAAACCCTCCAAATTTTGGATCATGGAACCGGCCCAAAGATGGAAAAATAACACCCTACTAAAATAGTGATATATTATGATTAGAGTCTATTTTTTCGAGATGGCTATATTATATTGTTATATGTTGGACCCAGCTGTGGATCAAAGTTCCTTGGATCTTCCGACGATGCATCGATTTATACTTAATATTTCTATCTGGAATTTGAATAAATGAAATATACTGTCACATTCTTGGGGTCCACAGAATGTCTTGGCCATGCTTGACCGGAGCGACATGACTGGACGTTCGAACTGAAAATCCAGGTGTTGCACCTGCCATTTCAGTTGCGAACTGGCATGTGGGAGGTTCTGAGCCACGGTTCTGACATGCTTTGACCTGGGTTTGTGCTTTCTTTTTTTCTCAGAGTCGGCTGGTCATCCAAATCTATGCCTGACATTTGTCCCTTTCAGGTCTGAGGCAAACCCTGCAGAGGCGCAATCCCATGGCAGGGGTTTTTGATTTTTATGGTATGGGTATGGTCCAAAAATGAAGACCATTCATTTTTCGGTATCTATCATGTGACCATGTCAGGGCAATCTTTCTTTGGATTGGTTCAATCCCAACAACCGGTTGGCTACGTCCAATTTGTTTCGTACTTGAAGGATTGTAGGTCATGCTCTTAAATGGGTGGTTCAAATTGTAGAGTCTGATCTACACTGCAGAACTATGTCCTCTCAGCGTGAGTCTTATCATCATCAAATTTGTGGCTATTTGGATCCCCAATGTTGACGTATACACAAACAGGATGGCTCCCAGAATACACAATTCCATCCCACAGATGTCTTTTTCCCAGTGGAGGGCGGGTATGGTCTCGTGGATAAGACGCATCCCTCATGCGTCAGACCCGGGTTCAATACGCGGGTGCAACACTAGGCTGACAGGCGGGCCACTACCCCACCCCCGCAGTTAAGGGGATGAGCTAGGGTGTGGTCCGTAAAAACACTCCCTCTCTTTTTCCCACTAGTCGGTGTGCGATTTTTTTTTTTGCATCCTAGTTTCTAAAACAGGCTGGAAATGGGTAAATTGAATTGTACCAAACGATATATATATAATTATGTGTATATATATAATTATGTATATATATATATATAAATAATTATGTATATATATACATAATTATATATAACCATGTATTCATATATATTATATAAATATATAGAGCGTACGCATACATATTACCATCGCAGTACATGATCAAATGGGCCAATCTTACCATTTTACGGACAGGCTGTTTGATCCAGCATTGCTCAGGCTGTTACTGAGCTTGTGGTCTGAGTGCCCAAAGGGCGCAGCTTGAGCACGGCAGGAAGCGCTGCTTGGGACGCTGTCAGTGCGCAGAGCTGGGTGTACTTTTGGTGACTATAGATTTACAATTGGCTATGAGATTGACATGCCATGACATATACCATATTTATACCATATTTATCACCAATATTTGATTCATTTGTGCTATAGTTGGTGGTTTCATGAAGAGATCTTTGAGCTCCCCCTTCCCACACTGGGACCAAAAGCAGGGGTAATTGAAACCACCAGCTGCGGTGATGGCCGATGGCCTACGTGGCGAATGCCTGGTTCGCCCGCAATCCATTTGCCGCAAAAGTCGCTGCTGTTTTGCAAGATTGCCTACTAGGGAATCAGCCGAGTTTACAACTCATAAAAATCTGTCATTGCTGGAGTTTTCTAGAAATCCCCATTCAATTAATGGTTGATATGGTTGGTTCATCCGCCATGGTTGATTTCCCCAGATCTTTCCCATGAACAACTCCATTTCGCTCGGGGATTTTCCAGCCCCGCTTGATTATACCAGAGGTAATCATCATTGATCACCAATTATCATAGTTAATCATGTTTCACCATTAATCATTATATATTATATATATAATGATCATTATTGCCGTTATCAGAGGACATCCAGCCGAGGTCACAGGGCATGGCTGGACTCCTTTGCCGCAAG